ACACAAGCATGATCATGGGAAGTCCACGGTGAAAGCACAGTTTCCAGATGTCTCTTCTTGTCTTACTTTTCTGAAGACTAAATTTTCCAAGATGAGATGCAAAGTCATTTTTAAGCCTTCACATACAAGGTTTTTAATATTCGCTGTCAAACATTTATTTAGTCCTCACCATGCGCAGGGCACTGCATTAGGTGCGTCTTCTAAAGTAAGCCATGTGAGGGAATGAAAGATAATTTCTGATTTAAAAAGCCAAATTACGAAAATGTAATATTTATTAGGCACTTGTAAGATAAAAGGCACTTGCTAGAGCATCACCTCTGCCAGCTTTACACGTCCGTGAAATTTCTGGTTTGCTCAAGTTGATATGGGTCTGATGCTAATGGGGACGAGGGCTGGAGTGTAATTCCTGAGAGCTTGGTGTGACGAATGTTAATTCTGACCAATCATGTCTAACACTCGGTAAATGAGTTCTGCAGTTGAGGGGAGTGGGGCTGGCAGAGCTAATGGTGGTCTGGGGACCCCCAGGACCAGTGAGGGATGTAAGAGGCGGGAAGAGGAGCTATGCAGAGTGGGCTCCCAGAGCTTTCCCACCTGGGCACCAGGCAGCGAGGGGGCCTGGGACACAGGACCTGGAGCCGAGAGTGAGGCAGAGTTCATTTGGGGGAATTAACACTTCTCTTCTTCTGAGGGTTCTTTCAGGCATAGGAGTTTATAATGCACTCCTGCGGCCTCAACTCTCCTCCTCTCTCTGCTCCAGGAAAGGTGTCTGATTGGGTGGATGTGTCCTGTCTGGTTCAGATATCCAGAAATACTATCAGTTCAGTTCAGTCACTCAGTCGTGTCTGACTCTTTGCGACCCCATGGACTGTAGCACACCAGGCCTCCCTGTCCATCACCAACCCCCAGAGCTTGCTCAGACTCATGCCCATTGAGTCGGTGATGCCATCCAACCACCTCATCCTCTGTCATCTCCTTCTCCTCCTGCCTTCCGTCTTTCCCAGCATCAGGGTCTTTTCCAGTGAGTCAGTTCTTTGCATCAGGTGGCCAAAGTACTGGAGTTTCAGCCTCAGCATCAGTCCTTCCAATGAACACCCAGGACTGATCTCCTTTAGGATGGACTGGTTGGATCTCCTTGCAGTCCAAGGGACTCTCAAGACTCTTCTCCAACACCACAGTTCAAAAGCATCAATGTGATCACCTGCCTACAAACACCAGCTCCCTCCTCCCACCCGGACGTCATTGTAGTAAAGGGGTGTTCTGGTGCTGGTCAAGTTTAGAACCAACTCAGCAAAGCTGTCATTCTGTACAAGGGGCAGGAAGACATACAGACCCTCTTCTCAGCAGAATTGGCTCCATATTGCTGGGCCTTTGCTGTTAGTTACACTTTTCTCTTCTTTTTGTCTGCATGGGTCTTTGTTGCAGCATTCAGGCTTTCTCTAGCTGTGCTGCGTGGGCTGTTGTGGTCCCTGGCCTCAGTAGTTACAGCACCTGGGTTTCTCTAGTTGCTGTGTGGAGGCTTAGTTGCTCCGAAGCATGTGGCATCTCAGTTCCCCAATCAGGGTTCAAACCTGCGTCCCCTGCATCTGAAGGTGGATTCTTAACCACTGCACCGACAGGGAAGCCGCTGGGCCTCTGCTCTTAATACTGCCATCTCCTGCAATATTTTCAAGTCAAAGTCCCAAATCCCTGGGATTCCTTATGTTCATAAACTAAACCTGTAAATTTAGCCAAGAAAAATGTGTGTGTTTGGGCCAGTAAAGGACATAGAATCCTCCAAACATTGCCTAAAACCACCACTGGGGCTTGTGACTTAATTTTAATTCACTATGTTGTTAGGCAGGGTCTCTGTGAAGCTATGTCAACACAGGACTTTAGGCCACCAGTGAGGGGAGTGAATATTTTCTTCTTTCATTGTCACTCTTGCCACTCTCTTCTGAGCTGGATTGATGTGGATCGTGAAGAAACTCACCCTCAGTTTGTGAAGGCAGGCAGAGCCTGGGGGGTGGGGGTGGGGGGGTGCTTAGGTGCCTGAATGAGAGTCAGGGCAAGCGCTGAATGGCCTCTGAGCCAAACTTCTGAAAGCCTGTTGTCTGGAGTCCCCTGGAGTTTTTCTATTTATTGGTTTCAGTTGCTAAGAAGTGACCATCCTTAGCACTGAGGCTGTTGCCCTTGGCTACACGTTTCTTTGTGGCCATAATCTTACATCACATGATACTAAACCGGCAGCTGGCAAGGCAGAGATCTTAATGAAATGTCTTCCTGGTGTTGGCCTCCTGGTATGAGGCAGGTTGTATTAACTCACTTTTTCAATCAAAGGGAAGAGCTGACTTTAGTTTAACAATGTCCTCCTCCCTGTTAAGTAGGGATTTGCTGTTTGTTCTCTGACATGTGTCAGTTAAAATCATGTCCCCTGAATTATCACTTTCTTGATCATTGCCCCTTCATGGGGTTCCTGGGAGTCTGTCTGAAGGTGGTGCTGTTATGGATGAGGGTGGTGGTGCTGATTTTCTCAGGCTGAGAAAGGCTCCGTGGAGCTGGTGCCTGTTTCAAACCATGCGTATTTTGTCCCCTCACCGCCCCTCCCGTCTCCCTGCCCATTGATTCCACAGATTAGACATTCACATTCAAGGTAACTCTTGAGTGCATTTGTTTTCCTTCTGTAAAAAAAAAATTTTAATGAATTTGTACATTATTGCTTCTGTTTTATGTCTTGGTTTTTCTGCATGTGGGATCTTAGTTTCCTGACTAGAGATCAAACCTGCAGTCCTTGCATTGGAAGGTGAAGTCTTGCCCACTAGGCCACCAGGGACGTCCCTGAGTACATTTCTAGTTTGGGTTTCATTTGCCATCCTCTGGCTTCCTGACTCTCATCGTCCATTTTGGGAGGAATCTTCAGGTTCTGGTATTTATTTTCAACGCAGACACCCTCTGAATGTAAGGAATTTCTATAGTGCACCAATAAAATGCTGGGGGGTGGGGTGTCTTTCTGTGTCTTATACCCTGAATCCATTTGCAACTTTTTGTCTCTTTTTCTCAAGGCAGTTCTAAAGGCGCCCCATGTCTGCTGCTGTTTGAAAAGGCTGTAAAATTCAAGCTACGTGATTATGAATACTATGAAAAAGGTTTTGACAACTTTTGATGGCATTTAATTCAAGTTAAACTCCTCTCATTCAAAATAATAAGCATAATGTTACTTATTATGCAGATGAGGCAGCGAGGCAGATGTTTGTCATCTCAGCGCATTCACTGGGGATTAATAAGTACACAAGCTGCTGGGGTGGTGGTGGGGGGGGGCCCTGGGTTCAACCTGGGAATTTGAAAAAGGGCTGAGGAAGGGTGATTACTCTGGACTGCTCTGTCCAGTAAAGGGGGCGGGGCGCGGGGGGCAGCAACCACAGGAGGCCACTTACATTTAGTGAACTCCAGTGAAAATGGACAGTTTCACAATGTGCTACCCTGGAGCCACAGTGACCAGGGGCAGCCTGTCGAGGAGCACAGACACGGCACAGTTCTGTCGTTGGTGGAAGTCCTGCTGGACAGCACTGCCAACCACGGGGGTGTTAGAACAGCCAGGGATGCTTGCGGATTTCTCTCATCAACGGGAACTTCGCCTGAAAGCTTCTGGGAACATGTGAAGATCTGTGAAGAGCCAAGTGGAATGGAACTGCCATCAGCGTGTAGCTGTTGGAGGGCCATCCCCCCGTCCCACGGGCTGCACTGGAGCCGCGCTTCTCAAACCCGAGGCGTGCGGACACACCGCCGGGGAGCTTAGAGTGCAGAGACGGGCCCTGTCGGTCTGCAGTGGCGCCTGAGAGTCATCCACCCCCTGGGGATGCTGCCGCCTTGGTCCTGGAAGTGACAATTGAAGAAGCACAGATCCACAGCACTGGTTCCCAGTTCTGGCTGCATGTCAAAATCAGCTGGGATCCAAACACCCCTGAGACCTAGAACTCAACCCCAGGGGTTCTATTTTAACTTGTCTGGTGTGCAATCTAGGCACTGGACTTTAATTACATTTAGTGAACTCCAGTGAAAATGGACAGTTTCACAATGTGCTACCCTGGAGCCACAGTGACCAGGGGCAGCCTGTCGAGGAGCACAGACACGGCACAGTTCTGTCGTTGGTGGAAGTCCTGCTGGACAGCACTGCCAACCACGGGGGTGTTAGAACAGCCAGGGATGCTTGCGGATTTCTCTCATCAACGGGAACTTCGCCTGAAAGCTTCTGGGAACATGTGAAGATCTGTGAAGAGCCAAGTGGAATGGAACTGCCATCAGCGTGTAGCTGTTGGAGGGCCATCCCCCCGTCCCACGGGCTGCACTGGAGCCGCGCTTCTCAAACCCGAGGCGTGCGGACACACCGCCGGGGAGCTTAGAGTGCAGAGACGGGCCCTGTCGGTCTGCAGTGGCGCCTGAGAGTCATCCACCCCCTGGGGATGCTGCCGCCTTGGTCCTGGAAGTGACAATTGAAGAAGCACAGATCCACAGCACTGGTTCCCAGTTCTGGCTGCATGTCAAAATCAGCTGGGATCCAAACACCCCTGAGACCTAGAACTCAACCCCAGAGGTTCTATTTTAACTTGTCTGGTGTGCAATCTAGGCACTGGACTTTAAAAAGCTGATTAAAATTTGAGAACCATTGATGGAAGTAGGGCAAGTCTATTAGGTCTGAGGACCAGAAACACTGGCTTCATCTGGAAGTTTGTCAGAGATGCAGATTCTTAGGCTCCCATCCTGCTGAGTTCTAATCTGCCTTCTAGGGAAATTTGCCTGGTAATTTCATGTACATTACAGGTGAGAACACTGTTCAGGTAGCCTTTATAAGTAATCATTTATTGATCTGTGTACATGTCTTTAAAAAAGTGTTTTTAAAGCAACAAGCTCTGTTAATTTCTAAAAATATCGTGGCGTATAATTTAGTTCATTTGCATGCCTAATTACTGTAGCTTTGACTGTCACGGCACAGGCACTAATGGTGGTTTCTGCTTGCATTGTAACAGAAGGCATCAATCAATAATGCCAGCTGAGTGGACACTGGACTTCCACATCTGAAGTCAAGAATTAACCAAGTTTTTAAGGGGTAAGTTCCACACGTTGGCATGTAAAGGTTATTCCAGGTAAAGTATAAGTCCCCTTTCAGGTTAGTTCATTGTGTGATTTTAGGAAAGTATACACTTCAACATTACTAGAGATATTCAACATAGGTTCATTTTTATTTGATGTAATTTTTCATCATGAAACATTCAGGTCTCAGATCCTCAGTGGTGAGGGGAGAGTAGGAAGGGACTGTACTGTCTTGACCAAAACAAAAATGTGTCTCACATTGTGTTTTTCTTTCCAAGTGGTATTTTAGAGGAACAGTGCTAAAGAATTATAAAGGAGAAAGGCCAACTCTGCTGTGTTTTAGATCAGCATTCTCAGACTTGATTGGCAGGGACCGTGGTAGGGATCCTTGAAGAAGTTGTGTTAAAATGTAGACCCTGATGCTGTCAGCCTAGGACTGGACCTGAGACCTAGTATTTCAAACAGTATAGGTGGTGGGACGCTGCTTGTCTGTTGATGATATTTTGAGTAACAAGAGACTAGATGACTCTTCAGGATGCCTTCTTATAAATCTCATTTCAGTGATTCAAAAAATAAAGTGGTCTGGTATAAACAATAATAATGGTGATTTTGTTGAAAATGCTGATTTGCTCACTTGAATCATCCAAAAGAAAGATACCAAAAGGTCAGAATTATTCATAGCCCCATCATTAATGTAAAACTTATGGGCAAGTGAAGTCATTTAAGGCAAAAGCAAAATAGTAACATAAATACCTCAGATGACTACCAGGGCAAAATTTTCAAAATGTTGCAAGCTGTCTGCAAGCTTGAAGTAGCAATTTACATGCATAATTAGGTGCAATCAACAGTTTTGAAATGTAATATATTTTCTGAGCCCGTATTTACTTATGACAGACGCAAAAAAAAAAAAAAAAAAAAAATCTGTGTCCCCCAAAAAACAGAAGGGCAGAGAAAGGAAAAATATTTGCTTTTAACAATGGGAGCCTGTACAAGCACTTGCCTAAATCTAGAACAAATTCAGTCGAAGTATTGTATCTTTGTTTTGATTTGCTCTTCACTGAAGTTCACAAACACATTTTGGAAGTAACAAGCATGGAAGAATAATAACCTTCCAGCCAGTTATTCCAGCTCCTGTTGGAACTGACATATAAATTTTTATTTCTACAACGTAAAAGGAAAATCTGTCAAATTTAGAACTTTGTTGCACAGAACACCATTGACTTTCTTCCTACCTTCAGAAGGGGCTTCATTCTTTGAAGATCCCAAATATCTTTTAGAATAATTTATAGAAAAAAGATTAATTAAACTGGCAGTTTCTTCTTCCTAAATCAAGGTCCTCCGAGGATCGCTCATGGTGAATTTCTATCATCTTACTATTTTCAGTAAAACAGGCACTGAGTGTTCCCTATGCCCTAAGGCGCTCTGCTAAGCACTTTACACAGATCATCTAATTTAGCATTATAAAAATACTATAAGGATTGATTGATTATAATGTACTGGAGAGGAAAGGGAGAGTAAGTGACTTCTTTAAAGGCAGAAGCTCTATATTTTCTTGGGCTGGCACATTATCACATGAGAGGTCATAATGTCACTTAAAAAATGTATCGAATGTCAGACTAAAGCAAGCTCCTGTTATTTTGAACAAAGTCCCAATTTAGAAGATGAGCTTGAAATTCAAATTTTTCATAATTCTGAAGAAAAAGAATAATTTCACCCCTAAACTTTTCTTTTCCCAAAAGCATGTTCACATTGCATTATTCAGATTGACTGTGTGTACTGATTAAAGGGGCAATTAACTTCTATCATAGAATCAGAGATGAAGTTCGCACTGAGGGATAAGGCATGATATGTCCTTGTGTAACTGCCACTATTTGGACAGTGTATCTTGAAACTGTCAAAGTTGTCTTTAAGGCAAAGCAGTCACAAGACAACTTTCTAGTTTCAGAAGGCAGGCATGGTCTGTGATACATCATATACGGGGTGGGGGGTTGGGGGGGAAGCGAAGCTCTACTTAGAAATGCGCCGAGAGTTCATTTATCTGCTGATCCATGTGGGGGCATTGTGGAACTCAAAGCCCAGAACAATGGGTTCTATTTAATATTAAACAGCTTCTTAATAATCCTCTATCTCTCCACAGCTGCTGGAAGGTCCCTTCGGGGCATGCAGAGTCGCCTTGGCCTTGGCAGTTCCTGTGGAGTTGTAAACTGCTCCCCAGGACCAAGGAGTGTTCAGTGTGGAAGTCATCCTAATCAGCTGACTGTCGGGGTGAGCCCGGCTCTAAGAATTCCCAAGAATATCCTTGTCCTCTCCATCTGTCTCTCTAGGTTTACAGAGGCAGCTCACCGCCCGGCCCGAGGTCCCCGCCCCTCGGCGGAGCCCTGCCTGGGGAAGGGTGGAAGCTGGCGCCCACGGGGGCACCTGGCGGCCAGTGTCCGGCCGCGACCCCTCGCCTCTCTCTCCGCACACCCCCCAACCGCCCGCCCCTCCGCTGCAGACCTTTACGTGGAACTCAGGCTAGCCGCCAGACTCGCGTCCTCGACCCGGGCGCGGGACCTCACCCCTTGCGGGTGCCGCCCGCGACCCGGTGGAGGCGAGGGTAGGTGGACTGCCGCCTGGCCTCTGCCACCGCCTTCTGGTCCTCGCCCTCGGCGCTGAGGGCGGCTTGGGGCCACGGGAGCGCGGGGATGCTCTGTGCGCGCGGGAGCGGTGACCCTGGGGCACGCGCGGCCTCGGGAGGGAGCGAGGGAGGGGCCCAGGCCGCTGTGGCGGCGGGGGTCACCCGGGGTTGGGGTGCGGGCCCCGGCCGCCAGCCCCCCGCCGCCTACCCTCCTCCCAGGGCTCCGCCGTCGCCCTGCACCGGTCTCCAAGCTCTGCCTGCCTCGCCCGGAGAGGGCGGGGTGAGGGGTCGGAACCTGGTCCGGGGGCAGGGGTGGTGGGTTTCACTTACACCTGACCGGCCCCTCTCCTGTCAGTTTCGCCTGCAGGTCCCGGAGACGAGATTGTTCTTCCAGTAACTTTGTTCCGAGGCGGAGGGGAGGGGAGACGCCGAGGGGACCCCGGAGAGGCTGGAAAGCGCCGAGGATCTGGAGGCCGGGCTGGGACCGAATCCCCGGGCGGCCTCGGGCTGGGCGTGCGGCTGGGAGGCGTCGCCGCCGCCGGGATGCGCTCGGCTTAGCGGGACTGCCGGGGGCGCCCGAAGGCCACCACTCCGAGGACGCGCAGCCCCCGCTGCTCGCGCTCCACGGGCCGGCGCCGCCGGTGCCGAGCCCAGCAGCGAGCCGAGCTGCGGGGCGCGCGGGCGAAGGCTGGCGGGAGGGAGGGCGCGCAAGAGGCGGCCCCTCCTCGGCGAGCCATGCGTGCCGCGGGCAGCTAAGCCGCCGCCGGGCGCCGCTGCCAAGTCTGCGCTCCGCTTTTGTCTTGCCCTCCAGTGAATGGGAAGATGGAGATGGATGTGGAGGGAGTTTCTCCTCGCCCGGAGCCCATCCCCCGCTCCCAGGGGGCTGGAGGAGCCTGCCAGGCGCCGTCACAGCCGCCCCAGCCCCAACCCCAGCCCCCGCCGCTGCCTCCGCAGCATCCGGCTCCGGATGAACCGCCCGGCGAGAGTGCCGGCGCAGAGGACAGCGACGATCCCGAGGCGAGACCCAGCGGCGACAAGGGCGAGAGCAAGGTAGGTCCCCGCGTTGGCGCTGTGACACCTTGTGAACAAAACCAAGAAAGAAGCTCTGGTAGTAGCTGTCACTTTAACCCCTCCACTCCCCCACCCCCTCTCTCGTCCAGGTGGCAGTGGGGGTTGCAGATGTGGGGAAGGCGTGCGACGCTGTGGGATCGCTGGGGGAGTCACTTTCTGACCTGGAAGGCGTGTGCAAAGTCCGTCCTGGTTTCTGTAGTAAGTGTTTGTGCAGAGAAAAGTCTTCTGGTCCAGGCGATGTGATGCCAGGCAGGGCGCAGCATCCCGGGAGAGCAGGGTTGAGGACCGGTGCTCGCCCACACCGTGTAGCCAAGGCTTGTGCGAATGATCTAGGTCAACGCAAAGCGTGTTTTCTGGAGCTGCCAAGTGCTTCCGAGACTCCTTGTAGGGAGGTGATATCAACCTAAAGATGACAACGGTGGGAGCAAAGTTTGGCTCTTCTGCAGAAGGGAGAGCTCTGCCTCACCCAGCTCCAAGCTGGAGGTCCTGCTCTGCTCCTCCCCTGGCATCCTCATGCCTGGGAAGGGCAGGGACCAGGGGCCTGGCAGCAGGTGAGCCCTGGACACCTTTTGAGCCCTGCTGTGTCATTGTAGACCCGGGGATAGAGGCTACTGACTGGAGAGAGGAGCTCCTCAGGTGATTGGGTTCCAGGAAGAAATGGCTCAAATGCTCTTCTCTGGTGCTGATGTTTCTTCCTGTTGAGAAAATTGTAAAGGAGAGAAGGTGGCATAGAAAATAATGCCTTGGGGTAACGTTCTTAGAGTGTAGTTCCAACTCGGTCCCTGAGCAGAGTGTTCTTTCTCCATGCACACTTGGAGTTGAGTTTTGTGAATGCTGGTGTCGGCCAGTCGTGTCTTGGCAAAGTCTGTACATGTGTTTCTTAATACATTTTGAAAGTGGCTGCAAATGTTGGGGAAAAGTTGGTTCAACAAATTAGACTTTTGGAACCAAAGAGGCGTCAGTGGAAATACTTTCTAACTGTGGTTCACTTGAGGAAGTGTTCAAGAACACAGCCCCTGTTCCTGGTGAGAAAGGAACTCAAGTCATGATGTGTTCCTCTTTGGAGATTGCCTGGGCTTCGGTTCCACCTTTCCTAAGATGTGAGTGGACCAAACAACATCCAAAATATGTTGGGATCACATTGGATGATGCCTCTTTGTACTTGGAGACTGGCTCACCTTAACAGGATTGTATTCGCACATCTTCAAAATTTTGTTTTGCATTTGGATTACTGAGCTAAGGTTTGAGATTGTGGTTTTTCTACCAAATCAATATCGTAACTTAACATGACATTCTACCAAAGAACTGGCATTTGAACACACTCTAGACCGGGCCAGGGTGATGCGTATAGGAGTTACATTGCTGAACTATGAGGAATTTTAGTATTCTAACGTCCTCAGCTTTTCAGTCACATTTGATTTGATGAATATCTAATTCTGTCACGACTGCATATTTACCACATGAAATGACTGTGCTCAGTTTCATGAAATAACCATAACTGAGCAGCATGTTATCTAATTGAACTGTAAGTCTCTTTTGCAAAATAGGTGTGGGCGATCATTAAAATATACAGCCTGTGTTGCCATTTCCACGTTGCTGGTTCACATGCCCTGAGCATGAGAAATTCCTGCCATCAGCAAAAAATCGTGCTTATTTGTTTCCCTCTGATGCACCACGCAAGCTGTATGATGTTCTGCGGGTTGTGGGGAGTGAGGAACTCCATGCATGATGTATGCTAGAATAGGTGAAGAGAGGATGGAAAGTGGGTTGATTACATTTCCCTAATTAGCATGTGCAGAAATTTGAGTATTCCACTGATGTGACTGACTTTTTGTATGTCTGCAATTTCTTGTGGTGGAAACAAATACTCCTTTTTTTTTTTTTTGCCTCCAGGTGTTTGCCTTAAAAAATCATGTTGCCATCCTTCTCTTTACCCAGAAATCAGCTGAGTTAACCCTTTGCTATTATCTGCTATTCTCCTACCAGTCCTTCTAAAATCTGAGGATGGTGGCTGTGTCTCAGACTTTAATACTAACTCTTTCTGTCTTTGATGTCTACTAAGGCAAGTTATACATTGATTTTTCTTAGCAAATCCTGGTTTCATTAGTGGGAAGCATTTTTGGGTGTCTGATCAAATTATTCTGCTAAGATATAAGTGGAAGACAAACTAGGATAAAGTGAAATGTGGTAGCTGCTTGGGGGGAAACTGGGGAGACAATCACAGTAGGATTGAAACACAGTAATATATAAATACAATGTATTGGATGGTCATTTTTGCTTCTTGTTCATGAGTGTAATAAGAAATGAATTTTGAATACTCTATTATTTATTTTAAATCTCCCCCACCCCCAAAGTGCAGGGCATTTATTTCCAGATTCTGGTTTGGGGTCATGCTTTTATTTTCTCCTAAGTTTACCCCAGTTGTCTTCTTGGAAAAGAAATCAGAGCTTCATGCCAGACCCACTTGTCTCCAAAATTGCAGGTTCAGGTCATGTAGGTGAGTGGTATGAATGTATAAATGATCCTTTCTTGTCTGCTGTGGCTTCATGTATCCTCCCTTGTCCTTCTTCTCTCACCTCACTTCTCTTTCTCTCTTCCGCACACACACAAACCATTTACTGTGATGTTCTATATAGAAGTGTTTATTTACGGTGCTGCGATGAGATATCCTGACCAAACTCTTTCGTGTTCAGCTCTCATTAAAGGCTTGGTCTGCAGGAAATGTTATTCTTGTAATTTGGACTGGAGAGACCCATGCTATTGCTCCTGGTGATACTTTACTGATGGACGTAACCCAGGATGCTCACCTTCCTGCATCCCATCAGTGACACTGACCTAAATCATCAGTCTCACAGAGGGTGCTGTTGGGAGTCTGTGATCCAGTCCATGTTTTAGAGCCTTTTGTTTTGAAATAATTTCAGATTTCTAGAAAAGTTGCAAAGATAAGACCGGGAGTTACCTGTACCAACCTTCCCCTAATGTTCATATCCTACTTAATCATGACCTGTACATTACAATAAAGAAATTAACACAAGTGTGATACTGTTAGCTAATCTCATCCAGTGTTTGTTGAATGAATGTGTAACATATCGATGTTTTTCATTCTATCCTCCCAGGACTTGAGACTTTTATTTTTTTACAGTTGAAAGTGTCTGTGAAGGGGTATTTAAGAGCTAGATTTGGCCTCAGGTTACCTGTTCGCCCTGTTGCCGGCAGGTAGGAGCAGCTCCTTGAGTCCTAGATTGAGTTCCCTGGGCTCTGTACCGCATTGCCCTGGGCCCTGTGGGAGTTACCACTTTGGCACAGCTCTTGAGTGCTGTGAACTTGTGGGGAGTGAAAGTCTGCTTCTCTATTTTGTCCTGAAAAGCACTCCTGCTCCTGATAAGACAGGGTCTGTCAGTACACAGAGGACAGCAGAGTCTCAAGTGGCAAGTTGAGAAGAGGCAGTTGATAAAATCAGGACAGTTCACTCTGATGTTGAACCCCGTGGGTGTTTGCTCCTGGCAAGAAAAGTTGTGGAAGCCTTCTCCCTTCTGCCTTGTGCCTTCCAGGTGAACTCTGATTTCAAGCACAGAAGCAGAAACCTGCCCATATCAGGCAGGGTACCACTGTGATCCTTGTGGGCTTTCTGCTGAAGATTGAAATCGCAAAGACCACATGTCTTTCACCAGCTACTAACCTCAGAGAAGATCCTACTTTTTAAACATTAAAAAAATTTTTTTATTTTTATTTTGGCTGCATTGCGTCTTAGTTGTGACATGTAGAATCTAGTTCCCTTACCAGGGATGGGACTGTGACCTCTGGCATTGGAAACATGTAGTCTTAGCCACTGGACCACCAGGGAAGCTCTCAACCCTACCCTTTTTAAATCTGTCTCTTCATCTTTAAAATAGGGTAATAATAGTGCCCACACCAATGGTTACTGTATGGATTAAGTGAGATAAAACATGTAAAGTTCTTGATTCAGTGCTTCATAGCTACTGATTGCTCAGCAGTTATTAGTAGTAATAATTGTGATGATGATTATTGCTGTTGTGGTCCATGGAGCTGAAGAGGAGAAGGCATTGGGGCCAAGTTCATCTAGAGTTTTCAGTTTCCCAAAGGGTTGTGGGGCTGGAAATGATACAGACACACTGTTCTACAGTCACACCAGTTTCTGACTGTGTGGATCTTGGGGTATTCCCCAGTCTTTTCCTGGTAGGCAGGACTTTGGGAAGAAATACCCCTTACCCTGTCTTGTCAATAGACTGCTCGTCTCTCATCGGGAAGCCCAGGGAGGACCAGGAGGGCTGATCCCGGCTCCTATCCCAGGACCCAGGGGTACACGCCAGACAACAATAGAGCAAGTGGGTTCCCCGGCCTTTACACATTA